ACCAATGAAATTTTTCACTTAGTTCATCAGTCCTGAGACCCTTATGTCTATCCTAAACTGGCATCAATTTATTTAATCCAAAATTACATTTCTAAAAGATTAAGAGAAACAAGATTGCTTTTAAAGCACACAGCATATCCTCTAGCTTTTAGTGAAATTACCTTAGAAAAGAAAATCGGGCTGGGCGTGGTGGCTCACACCTGCAATCCTAACACTCTGGGAGGCCAAGACAGGAGAATCATTTGAGGTCAGGAGTTCGAGACCAGCATGAGCAAGAGTGAGACCACATCGCTACCAAAAATAGAAAAAATTAGCCAGGCATAGTGTTTAGTGCCTATATAGTTCCAGCTACTTGGATGGCTTGAGGCAAGATCACTTTGAGCCCAGGAGTTTGAAGTTGCAGTGAACTATAACGACACCACTGTGCTCTAGCCAGGAAGACAGAGCAAGACTCCATCTCAAAAAAAAAAAAAAAAAAAAAAGTAAAAGTAATAAAGGTTCTTTTTGACATGTTGGCAAAAAAAAAAAAAATAGAGCAAATATAGTAAAATGCTGACATTTGGGGAATCTAGGTGAAGGACATATGGGAATTCTTGGCAATATATAATTCTTGGCAATTTTTCTATAAATCCAAAATTATTTCAAAATAAAAAGTTAATAAAACGAGAGACAGGCAACAAAATATCAGAGACCTCTTGATAGAAGTACACAACACTACCCAAGAAGTAATCTTGCGCTCCTCTTCCTTCCCTCCCCACAAAACAAGATAAAACATAAATGAACAAGCCTCTAGAATCTGGGTCTACTTACTCTTCTACAGACAAACAGGTAAAGAACATTACAGAGGTACAATGAACAAAATATGGACTGAAGAAAACTACAGGAAAACAATCTGATAATTTCAACAAAGTATTAGGGGAGGCTGGGCGCGGTGGCTCACACCTGTAATCCTAACACTCTGGGAGGCCGAGGAGTGAGGATTACTCGAGGTCAGGAGTTCAAAACCAGCCTGAGCAAGAGCAAGACCCCGTCTCTACTATAAATAGAAAGAAATTAATTGGCCAACTAATATATATAGAAAAAGTTAGCCGGGCATGGTGGCACATGCCTGTAGTCCCAGCTACTCAGGAGGCTGAGGCAGGAGGATTGCTTGGGTCCAAGAGTTTGAGGTAGCTGTGAGCTAGGCTGACGCCATGGCACTCACTCTAGCCTGGGCAACAAAGCGAGACTTTGTCTCAAAAAAAAAAAAAAAAAGAACTAGGGGAGGGAAGGATGACGAGAATATGTTACCAAAAGTTAAAAGACTTAAGAATGTCCACACAAAAACTCATCCATGAGTGCTCATAGCAGTATTACTTATAATAGCCCAAAATGGAAACAATCCAAATTGCATGATTCCACCTATATGAAATGTCCAGAAAAGGCAAATCTATAGAGACTTATAGTAGATCAGTGGTTGCCAGAGGCTAAGGGAAAAAGAGAATGGAGATTAACAGGTTTCTTTTGTGGGTAATGAAAATAACTGAAATTAGATAGTGGTGATGGTTGCACAGCTTTCTGATTATACTAAACACTACTAAATTGTGCACTTTTTTTTCCTTAAGAGACAAGGTCTCACTATGTTGCCCAGGCTGGTCTCAAACTCCTGGGCTCAAGTGATCCTTCCTGCTAGGCCTCCCAAATTGCTGGGGTTACAGGCATGAGCCACTACACCCAGCCCTTTTATTTACTCATAGAATTACAAAGAGAATCCTAAAATTTGCTTTCTGTGAGTCAATAGAAAGAACCTAATCAATTATGAAAAAACTGATTTTCTACAAACCTAAAATAGCCTCAAGATACTGTCACGCTAAGACTCTCCACAGTCAGCAGACTTTCCAAGAATCTTTACACCTCACTAACCTTTGCAGCACCAACTTTAAAAGCACAATCAAATCCAAAGTACGTAAATATAAATGAGATATTTTATCTATCTTTAGCTTGCGTTGTAAATACTGAATAAAATCCAAATAATGTTGCAAATATGCTTTATTATTATTTTTTTCTTTTCTAGAGACAGGGTTTCGCTCTGTTGCCCAGGCTGGAGTGCAATGTCTCCATCATAGGTCACTGCAACCTAAGACTCCTGGGTGCAAGCCATCCTCCTGCCTCAGCATCCCCAGTACCTGGTGCTACAGACACGTGCCACCACACCCAGCTAATTTTTTTATTTTTTGTAGAGTCAAGGTCTCACTATGTTGTCCAGGCTAGTCTTGAACTCCTGGCCTCAAGTAATCCTCTCTCCTAAGCCTCTCAAAATGCTGGGATTACAGGTGTGAGCCACCATGCCCAGCCCATATACACTTTAAATTAAACATATTAGATTTCTAGATTTTGGCTATAACTAAAATAACTTATTAGCATATCATTTTAAAAAGCAATATTTTGGCAGAGGGTTAGGATAAAAAACGACCTATCAGGTACAATGAACACTGTTTGGGTAATAGGCATACTAAAAGCCCTAATTTACCATTATATAATTCATCCATATAACAAAACTCATTTGTATCCCCTAAATCTATGGAAGTAAATATTCTAAAAAATAGTTTTTCAGGTTGGGCGTGGTGGCTCATGCCTGTTATCCTAGCACTCTGGGAGTCTGAGGCAGAAGGATTGCTCCAGATCAGGAGTTCGAAATCAGCCTGAGCAAGAGTGAGACCCCCATCTCTATTATAAATAGAAAGAAATTAATTGGCCGACTAATATATATAGAAAAAATTAGCAGGGCATAGTGGCGCATGCCTGTGGTCTCAGCTACTCGGGAGACTGAGGCAGCAGGATTGCTTGAGCCCAGGAGTTTGAGGTTGCCGTGAGCTAGGCTGACGCCACGGCACTCACTCTAGCCTGGGCAACAAAGCGAGACTCTGTCTCAAAAAATAAACAAATAAAAATAAAAAAAAGTTTTTCATCAGATAATAAAAAATAAATTCACATAAAAGCCATATTTTGTTCTCATATGCATGGCAAATATGAATGCCCTGAATTTTTCAATATGTAACTTATAAGCATTATGGAACAATTCATAAAATAATGAACATTTTCTATGTGACAACAGAAAAAACTGAAAAACACTATAAACTACAGCAGAAAATACAGTAGGAACTTAGGAGACAATTGACTTGCCTAGTTACACCAGTGACGGGGCGAAATGATCCTCCAACAGACTCAGAACACAACTTTGCAAACAATAGCCTCCCTCATTACCAAAATACTTCAAAAGCTTCAAGATCCTGAAGAGCATAGTATCACAGATCACAGAATCAAATTCAAAAATACACCTAAATAAGGCCCTACAGTCTCATCACGTATTTTGTAAGGGAAAAAAATGGCTTTCAAAATAAAGTACTAGCCAGGCATGGTAGCTCACACCTGCAATCCCAGTGCCCTTTGGGACGCCCAAGGCAGGAGGATTGCTTGTGGCTAGGAGTTCCAGATAAGCCTGGGCAACACAGTGAGACCCCATCTTTAAAAAAAAAATTTTAAAGTTAGCTGGCGCTGGGCACAGTGGCTCACGTCTGTAATCCTAGCACTCTGAGAGGCAGAGAAGGGCGGATTGCTTGAGGTCAGGAGTTGGAAATCAGCCTGACCAAGAGTGAGACCCCGTCTCTACTATAAATAGAAAGAAATTAATTGGCCAACTAATATATATAGAAAAAATTAGCCAGGCATGGTGGCACATGCCTGTAATCCCAGCTACTCAGGAGGCTGAGGCAGAAGGATTGCTTGAGCCCAGGAGTTTGAGGTTGCTGTGAGCTAGGCTAATGCCACGGCACTCACTCTAGCCTGGGCAACAAAGCGAGACTCTGTCCCAAAAAAAAAAAAGTTAGCTGGGCATGATGGCACACTGCTATACCCTTAGCTTCCTGGACAGAAGGCTGAGGCAGGAAGATCGCATGAGTCCACTTCAAAGTTACAGTCAGCTAAGATCATACCACTGTACGTCAGCCTGGGCAACAGAGCAAGACTCTTAAAAAGAAAAATCAAAGGGGCTAAAATATTTTAAAGCTATTGGCTGGTGGAAAAAATACACACAATAAAGATTAAACTACATCTAGATTTCAGTTTCTTGAGCAAACAAAATAAAAGGAAAAAGAAAATAAGAAAAATAATAAAAAAAGAAAAACAAGTACCACATATACTCACCAGTAAACTGGTATTAACTGAGTAGCACCTAAGTGGACACATAGGTACTACAGCAATAGGGTATAGGGCAGGTGGGAGGAGGGAGTGGGGTGGGTATATACATATATAATGAGTGAGATACGCACCATCTGGGGGATGGTCATGCTGGAAACTCAGACTTGTGGGGGGAGGGGGGAAAAGGGCATTTATTGAAACCTTAAAATCAGTACCCCCATAATATGCTGAAATAAAAAAAAATTAAAAATAAAATTAAAAATTAAAAAAACACATTAAACTACAAAGAAAAGCTAAGGATTGGCCAGGTATGGTGGCTCACGCCTGTAATACTGGCACTCTGGGAGGCCAGGGTGGGAGGACTGCTTGAAGTTAGGAGTTCGAGACCAGCCTGAGCAAGAGCGAGACCCCATCTCTACTAAAAATAGAAAGAAACTAATTGACCAATTACAAATATATAGAAAAAATTAGCCGGGCATGGTGGCACATGCCTGTAGTCCCAGCTACTTGGGAGGCAGAGGCAGAAGGATAGCTTGAGCCCAGGAGTTTTAAGACTGCTGTGAGCAAGCCTGACGCCATGGCACTCTAGCCCGGGCAACAGAGTGAGACTCTGTTCCCCCCTATCCGCCCCCCAAAAAATACTAAAAACCAACTAAAAACATACATACTAAAACCAAACACCACCAAAAAATGTTCCTCCTCTCTAAACTACAAGGAAGATAAATGGACAAGCAAAAAGCTTCAGGTAACAAAAAAGCATTTATCCTCCTCATAATAAAAAACACAACACAAACATTTTTTAATCCAAGAGAAAGAAAACTTACTAGCATGCTTGTCTGCAAGCATTATAAGCGTGTTGGAAATATCACGTCGTCTATAAAAGCAGACCACTTTTGCTTCCACGTTGCCACTTGCAGTCTAAGAAATAAGGAAAATAAAAGTCATTGGAACTAAATATTAAAGTCAAATAGTTTATAAAGCAAACCTAGATAAAACACACAATTATGAGGTCACACTCATTAACACTGCCAACCACAACTACAGGATAACCAGAGAGCTAAAACGTTCAAACAAGGATCAACGATTTTTGTTCCATTTGCAAGCACAATTAGAATGTCAAACATAAAATAACTCACTGGCATCAATTAAACTAAAGTGATTAGACCACCTTAATAATTAAAACCAGACATAGTTAACTCTGATTAGCTTTAAGAAACTAATCCCCAAAACTGTTAAACCAGACATAATTTATTTAAGATATTTAAACATACATCCTCCAAACCCATTCCCAAAAAGCACAAACTAAGTGTAAAATCACACAGTTCTCTCCTAAACATCCACATTCAACTGATGGCTCTGTAGCTGCAGAGCAGCTATTATGCAGAATGTACCAGGTGACTAGGAAAAGCACTCTCCAGCCCAAGGGAGTCTATGAATCTGTAACAGTCAATATTCTTAGCAGTTTACCTTCATATATAAAAGTATTAAAAACCTTGAGTTATGAACACTGAAGCTCCTATTTGACTACAGTCTAGAATACAATCAATATTCAGTTAGGTTGTAATTTACTGCAGCTGGGGCCCAGGCTTCTACTCTCTTATCCCCTGTGAATTCTAAGAGCTTTCAAGAAGGTCAATCATTCATTACAAAGTTCCTTGTAAAAACACATAGATTACAATAAAATGCTATTGTGATTTTCATTTTCAAACAAATTTGAGAATAAGTTTTCAGAAATTTCCTGGGTTTATAGACATATTCAAATATAAAGAAATAAGAATATATATATTCTGCAATAAATTTGTCTATTTTATGAAGTTCAGCAGCAATATTTTAGAAAAATAGTCCTGTAGAAACATTGTCCCTTAAAATTGAAGTCATATTCAAATTCCTAAACAAAATGCTTCTGTATTTCATAATATTGTGATCAAATATATCCTCCAGAAATAATGATCCAGCAATCTGCTAAATTAGCAGGCCAATATTTTTATGTAAATGAAATCTATCAGTGACTTCAACTATAAGATTTTTGTCATTTTTATCTACTTGAGAGAAAATCACATTAAAAATCCAAAGCAGGCCAGGCGTGGTGGCTCAGGCCTGTAATCCTAGCACTCTGGGAGGCCAAGGCAGGCAGATTGCTCAAGGTCAGGAGTTTGAAACCAGCCTGAGCAAGAGTGAGACAGCCTGTTTCCCTGTCATCCCCTCTCCCACCTGATTACAAGTGTGAGACAGCCTGTTTCCCTGTCATCCCCTCTCCCACCTGATTACAAGAGTGAAACAGCCTGTTTCCCTGTCATCCCCTCTCCCACCTGATTACAAGAGTGAGACAGCCTGTTTCCCTGTCATCCCCTCTCCCACCTGATTACAAGAGTGAGACAGCCTGTTTCCCTGTCATCCCCTCTCCCACCTGATTACAAACCTTCACCAATTCCTTATGACTAAAGCATAAAGAGGTAAAACACTTCCGACAATATACCCAGCCCTTTATTCCTTCCTTTCCCTTCTAAACTCCATTTCTCAACTCATGGAGGCAGTAAAAAAGTACAACTTGTTGGGGGAAGAACAGAAAAAGCTTAATAGAAGAAGAATGAGTGGAGAGTCCTTTGTAGGCTAGGAAAGGAGTACAGGAGTCCAAGTGAAGCATAAAGGACTGAGTATTCTAAGAAAAGAGGACATGAGCAAAGACACAGAGACGGAAAAGAAAAGTGGGGAAATGAGCAAAGAGCCCACAATGAACATTAATTTCTTTCCTGTGTTCTTTTTTCCATTTAGGTTGCAGCCTCTTAAATATCTATTCTGTCAAACACATTTACTAAAATATCCTGTAGCAATAATGGGCTTTTGGCCAGGCGTGGTGGCTCACGCCTGTAATCCTAGCTCTCTGGGAGGCGGATTGCTCGAGGTCAGGAGTTCGAAACCAGCCTGAGCAAGAGAGAGACCCCATCTCTACTATAAAGAGGAAATAATTGGTCAACTAATATATATAGAAAAAATTAGCCGGGCATGGTGGTGCATGCCTGTAGTCCCAGCTGAGGCAGTAGGATCGCTTGAGCCCAGGAGTTTGAGGTTGCTGTGAGCTAGGCTGATGCCATGGCACTTACTCTAGTCTGGGCAACAAAGTGAGACTCTGTCTCAAAAAAATAAAAAATAAAAATAAAAAATAATGGGCTTTTTTTCTTAAGCTCTAAATTCATTTCAGTCAACTTGAAGCTCATGTCTGTTTCTACCCCAGACTTAGAAAGTATGTTATTACACACACCCAGGCCTGCTATCAGGAAGTATTTAAAAAAATAAATACATAAAACCTTCTATTTCATCAAGTCCATGATTTGCCCAGACTTCAGAACAAGTGGAAATGGACTTTCCTAATTTCTGTCTCTATTCCCAATAAACTTCAAGGGCAGGTGGGAATTCCCAAAAATTATGTACAACAACTTTTATGTGCAAATATAGATTACAGGATAGGCAGAGATGCATGGTTTCATTAGCTGCTAAAGTTAATAATTCTCCTACCTGACACCAAAAATAAATAAATAAATAAGGCATTAAACATAGAAGTGAATCGCTGAGCGAATTAGATGGTCAATAATAAAATATAAATACAAAGATACATACAATCCTAGCACTCTGGGAGGCCAAGGCAGGCAGATTGCTCAAGGTCAGAAGTTCGAAACCAGCCTGAGCAACAGCAAGACCCCGTCTCTACTATAAATAGAAAGAAATTAATTGGCCAACTAATATATATAGAAAAAATTAGCCTGGTGGCGCATGCCTGTAGTCCCAGATACTCAGGAAGCTGAGGCAGGAAGATCCCTTGAGCCCAGGAGTTTGAGGTTGCTGTGAGCTAGGCTGACGCCATGGCACTCACTCTAGCCTGAGCAACAAAGCGAGACTCTGTCTCAAAAAAAAAAAAAAAAAGATACATACAAATTATACAACACATACTAAAAACAAAGTCAATAACAAGTGACATGTTAATTTATCCACAAACACAACTTCCATATTTCCTGAAACTACATACATTTTAAGAAAATCTCATTATCATGTACACAAAGCTTTCTTTCCAAATGTGTACAGACTTAGCCATGTGGTAGTGGACTGCACCTATAGTCCCAACTACTTGGGAGGCTGAAGCAAGAGGATCACTTGAACCCTGGAGTTGGAGGTTGCAGTGAGCTATGACGACACCACTGCACTCTAGCCCAGGCAACAGAGCAAAAGCCCCTGTCTCAAAAAAAAAAAAAAAAAAAAAGAGAGAGAGAGATAAACAACATTGAACTGTGTTCATCAACGGATATTTAGTTTTGCACCTAAAAGTTCCCAAAACTTTTAGGGAAAAAATTGAGACATAAATTTATTATAATTTTTTTAAAAAGAAAGAAATATTTCAGTCCTGCTTTCAAACTGAGCATGTAAAATTGCAAATATTTCAAAAAAAATAAAACCAAAGATCAGGCTAGGCGCAGTGGCTCACACCTGTAATCCCAGCACTTTGAGAAGCCAAGGCAGGAGAATCAATTGAGGCCAGGAGTTCAAGGCCAGCCTGAGCAAAATAGCAAGACTCCCCATCTCTACAAAAAGTAAATTAATAAAAATAAATTTAAATACAGGAATTACTGAGCACTAAGTTGGCTCTCAGTAGTGCTTTGCCATGGGAGAAGACAGTCTGAGTTGGTCCCATTTACAAAAATAAAAATGAATAATTAAAATAATTTTTAAATTTTAAAATTTAATAATTTTTAAAATTTACAACTTCATTCTATGAAACTTTTTATAAAAATGGTGATTTACAGCTTATCCCAGGAATTAGATTCAAGAAATTTTATTCAGATAATAGTTAATCAAGTAAGTTAATGTCTGTTCTTCTCTTGGCTCACCAATTAGATATATCAAGTATTTTAAAATTCATTATTTGGGCCAGGCGCGGTGGCTCACACCTGTAATCCTAGCACTCTGGGAGGCCGAGGCAGGCAGATTGCTCGAGCTCAGGAGTTCAAAACCAGCCTGAGCAAGAGCGAGACCCCGTCTCTACCTATAAATAGAAAGAAATTAACTGGCCAACTAATATATATAGAAAAACTTAGCCGGGCATGGTGGCGAATGCCTGTAGTCCCAGCTACTAGGGAGGCTGAGGCAGAAGGATTGCTTGAGCCCAGGAGTTTGAGGTTACTGTGAGCTAGGTTGACACCATGGCACTCACTCTAGCCTGGGCAACAAATCGAGACTCTGTCTCAAAAAAAAAAAAAAAAAATTCATTATTTGGATTTTCCAAACATGCTTACTTTCCACACCTAGCCAATTTACCTCTGATCTTCCCAAGGCCCTTATCTAGGACACTCCTATGGCCTCCCTTGCCATGGCAATCTCTTTCTCATCCTTTCGGTTTCAATTTCAATATCCTTAAAGTCCTTTCCTACCCTACTTAAAGGTAATAGGAGAATGACCTCTGTCATTCTCTACATCAAAACTCTTGCTTATTTTCTTCTTAGAAGTTAATACAACTTATTATTATTTTCTTCATGCCAGCTAACTTGTCTTTCCAGGTGGTCTCCCTCATGAGAATGTAGACCCTGTGCAGGCAGACAGCATGTCCATCTTATTCACAGTTGTATCTCTGAGCCTAGTATATTGCCTGGTATATAATAGGTGCTTGATAAATGTTTGTTAAATGAATTATCTAAAATGAGATGTCTTTTTCACATTCCTTCAGAAATAAAGATCCTATGTAAACATTTAGAATTTAACAAATCATATCCATTATCTACCAATATCCAACCCATTCAAACTGCCACTATTCAAAATTACAGAGAATCCTATCTCATAGTCACTCCCCCACCCCCAAAGGACCATTAGTATATGAATGACTCTTTTCAGACAGCAGGTGGGGCAAGAAGGAAGTAAAAATGGAGGGGTACTTTTGTTTGTTTATTTTGGGATGGGACAGGGTCACTCTTTGTCACCCAGGCTAGGGTATAAGGGTGCAATCATAGCTGACTGCAGCCTCAAACTCCTAGGCTCAAGTATCCTCCTGCCTCAGTCTCCCCAGTAGCTGGAACTACAGGCCCATGTCACCACACCCAGATAATTTTTTTCATCTTTTTTTTTTTAGAGACAGGGTCTCTTAATGTTGCTGAGGCTGGTCTCAGAACTCCTGGCCTTAAGTGATTCTCCCACCTCAGCCTCCTGAGGCTCCAGCAACTGCACTTAGCTCTATGGGGGTGGTGGTAATTTTGAAATGAATGGTAATGTAATGATAACAGATGTGAAATAATCCAGGTTCAAGCTAGCTGCCTAACCAGTCATTTAACCAGTGTGTGCCTCAAGATAACAATCCATGATTTATCTATCTTGAAAGTATAAGGTTATATGAAGCTCAATAGGGGTAACAAAAGTGAATCCCTAGATTACATGTTTCCAGAACACCATGCTCTGACATTTCTAAACAGCACACCTGCAATTTTAATTTTACTTGTAGAATTATATGGTTGATATCCGACTCCACTAGACCTGTTTTTCATCACCCTTGCATTCCCAGTTTCTAAAAGTGCCTTGCAGGTAACAGACCTCAAAAATATTTGTAGGCCGGGCGCTGTGGCTCACGCCTGTAATCCTAGCTCTTGGGAGGCCGAGGCGGGCGGATTGCTCAAGGTCAGGAGTTCAAAACCAGCCTGAGCCGACCGTCCTACTATAAATAGAAAGAAATTAATTGGCCAACTGATATTATATATAAAAAAATTAGCCGGGCATGGTGGCGCATGCCTGTAGTCCCAGCTACCCGGGAGGCTGAGGCAGAAGGATCACTGGAGCCCAGGAGTTTGAGGTTGCTGTGAGCTAGGCTGACGCCACGGCACTCACTCTAGCCCGGCAACAAAGTGAGACTCTGTCTCAAAAAAAAAAAAAAAAAAATATTTGTAAAACAGGCTGGGGAGGTAGGGGGGTGCGGTGGCTCAAGCCTGTAATCCTAGCACTCTGGGAGGCCTAGGCAGGAGGATCACTCAAGGTCAGGAGTTAGAAACCAGCCTGAGCAAGACTGAGACCCCGTCTCTACTAAAAATAGAAAGAAATTAGCTGGACAACTAAAAACATATAGAAAAAATTAGCTGGGCATGGTGGCACATGCCTGTAGTCCCAGCTACTCAGGAGGCTGAGGCAGAAGGATTGCTTGAGCCCAGGAGTTTGAGGTTGCTGTGAGCTAGGCTGATGCCATGGCACTCCAGCCAGGGCAACACAGTAAAACTCTGTCTCAAAAAAAAAAAAAAAAAAAAAAACAATATTTGTAAAACAAATGAATCAAAGTACTTTGTAAACAGTACTATGTATGTTCAAGCCTTAACATCAGACATTTGAGAAATTCATTAATTCAACAAATATTTACTGAATGCCTTTAACTATGTGCCAGCCACTATTCTAAGGCACTTAGAATGCACTAATGAACAAAACAGAAAAGACAAACACAAGGAGCTGACATTCTAGTTTGGAAAGATGGGCAATGAAAATAAACCCAGTAATTAAGTATATTTGGAGGTGATAAATGGTATGGAAAAAAGAACAAGGCGGGAGGGAAGATGGTTACAACCAAAGAGTCCTCCTAAGTTGGGTATCGTGAGAAACAGCCAAAAGCCACTGTGCTTGGAGCCAAATGAGCAGAGCAGAGAGCCTCCACCTGCCTTTAGAAAGAGTGGAGGTCAGAGAGAGGCAGCAACAGCCACAGAATATGGGGTCTCATAGCTCAATATCTCTATTGAATCCTAATTAACTTTCTAATTAAAGTGATATATAAAAAAAATTTAAAAAATAATTTAAGTGATATGGTGAACAGTTCAGGGCAGCCTCAATTCTTATATCTTCCATCAATCACATAAAAAGAGAAGCAGATCAGAATCACACCCCAACAGTTCTTACTCACGGCCTGATCTAAAAACTGAGGCCATACTCTTTATTTGGTGGTCTCAAATACTACAGAGTTATTTTATTTTATTTTATTTTATTTTATTTTATTTTATTTTATTTTATTTTATTTTTGAGACAGAGTCTCACTTTGTTGCCCAGGCTAGAGTGAGTGCCGTGGCGTCAGCCTAGCTCACAGCAACCTCAAACTCCTGGGCTCAAGCGATCCTCCTGCCTCAGCCTCCTGAGTAGCTGGGACTACAGGCATGCGCCACCATGCCCGGCTAATTTTTTTTTTGTATATATATTTTTAGTTGGTCAATTAATTTCTTTCTATTTTTAGTAGAGACAGGGTCTCGCTCAGGCTGATTTCGAACTCCTGACCTCGAGCAATCTACCTGCCTCAGCCTCACAGAGTGCTAGGATTACAGGCGTGAGCAACCACGCCCTGACACTACAGAGTATTTTTAACACATTGACTGCCACACTAGAAAAAAATTTTTTTTCCTTGGGGCCACAGTGTTCTATTACGAATGAAACTTCGAAAACAAAACAATCCTTTCCTATTTATTTATTTTTTTGAAACAGAGTCTCACTCTGTCGCCTGGGCTAGATTGCTATGGTGTCAGCCTAGTTTGCATCAACCTCCACTTCAGGGGCTCAAGCGATCCTCCTGCCTCAGCCTCCCAAGGAGCTGGGACTATAGGCGTGAACTATAACACCTAGCTAATTTTTTTTTTTCTGTCTTTAGTTGTCCAGCTAATTTCTATTTTTCCTAGAGATGGGGTCTCGCTCTTGCTCAGACTGGTCTCGCTCTTGCTAAGGATGGTCTCGAATACCTGATCCTCCTGCCTCAGCCTCCCAAAGAGCTAAGATTACAGCCACCACACCTAGCCAATCCTTTCTAATTTAATGAAAATGTTCTTATTTTTTATTGTTTTGTGTGTGTGAGTTATATGCAACTTAAAAAATAGTTCTCTCAGTTTCCAAGGTAAAGACACATGTAAGACACACATGCTTCACGAGGCCTGGGGCTCAAAACTGGCATGAGTTAAATACAACTCACATGGCAGTTAATGTGTTAAAATGCAAAGTCCTTAGGGTATCCAAGAAGCAAACCAAGATCTCAAGCCTCTTTAAGCTAGAAATGACTTAGGCCAGGCCTTGGTTTCCTGGGACTCAGAACTGGACCAGTCACCAGATGGCATCTTGAGGGGAGCATATTAGATAGCCTCAAAGATTTTAACACTATGAATTCTCATAAGGCACACAAATAACCCTCAGCGTGGTCTGGAAGAATACAGAGCATCCTTATAAAATCTATGGTCCATGTAATTTATGTCTGCTTTCCAGTGTCTTCACTGGAAAAGCTCATCAACTGCAATCACAATGCTTCTGCTATCCTATATCACGTATCAAATATGACAAAACTTAATGTAAAAGTTTAATTTACTTGAACCAAAGATACAAAGCTACATTATATTATATTCTTATTAATTAGCCTAGACCAGAATTTTACAAATTCCCTTCAATATTATATTCCCATCCTGGCACAATGGCTCATGCCTGTAATATTCAACACTTTGGAAGGCCAAGGCGGGAAGATTGCTTGAGGCCAAGAGTTCAAGACCAGCCTGGGCAACAGAGTGAGACCCCATCTCTACAAAAAAATTCTAAAATTAGCCAGCCATGGTGGCATGTGCCTGTGGTCCCAGCTACTTGGGAGACTGAGGTGGGAGGATTGCTTGAGCCGATGAGTTCAAGGTTATAGTGAGCTATGGTCGCACCACTGCACTTCAACCTGGGTGAGAAAGCAGGAGTTTGAGGTTGCTGTAAGCTAGGCTGACACCACAGCACTCTAGCCTGGGCAACAAAGTGAGACTCTATCTAAAAAAAAAAATTTTTTTTAAAGGAGGCTGAGCAAGGTGGCTCACGCCTGTAATCCTAGCACTCTGGAAGGCCAAGCCAGGAGGATCGCTCAAGGTCAGGAGTTCGGAGTTGGAAACCAGCTTGAGCAAGAGTGAGACCCTGTCTCTACTAAAAATAGAAAGAAATTAATTGGACAACTAAATATATATAGAAAATTAGCTGGGCATGGTGGCACATGCCTGTAGTCCCAGCTACTTGGGAGGCTGAGGCAGCAGGATTGCTTGAACCCGGGAATGTGAGGTTGCAGTGAGCTATGCTGATGCCACAGCACTCTAGCCCAGGCAACAGAGTGAGACTCTGTCTCAAAAAAAAAAAAAAAAAAGGAAAAGAATATTCAGAGTCCTGCATAATACTCTAATCTGAAATCTCTACTTTCAGAGAATCTGGGTCTGAAAGTAAAATCACCTCTTATGCCCTTTACCCAATTATCTTTCAACAGAAGACAAATATTTCATAATATTAGAACCAAAATCACTCAGTGTATACCTTGTTGAGTTCTTCTATCCTTCTGATTAGGTATGGGTTGCTGGAGGAATTCTCAAAGTAGACATAATCTGTAATTAAAGGAAGTACAGAACTTAATCTTTTGTTGAACTTAATCTTTCTGTTGAACAGAAAGTTCACATTTGTCAATCCATGACTTTTTATGTTAGGCAATTCACCACGTTCAAAATTAACCTCATAATTCATTCACCGGTAAATGCAAACTGAATAATTCCACTGTAATATATTCTCTATGTGCCTATTATTCACAGACCTTTATTTTCCTGGCATTTTCATTTCAATTAATGTCTTATCAAGTTCTACTAGATTTTTGTTCTGATATGTCGTTTCTTTAAAAACAAACAAAAAGATGCTTCTCATCATCGGACTAGTCAGGGCTCATAAATATGTGCCCTCTGTATTTTAACTACTCCCACATCTTTTCCCTCCAATCCAATTTGCTCTGGAGTCCGCTTCTCACATAAAACTATTGACCTAAGACAAATTCAGAGCAAAGAGAAAGGCTTACCACCAGCCCCACCTACATTTCAATCACTACTTAAAAAAAAAAAAAATCAGGTGAACAGAGCAAGTAGAGAAAGCATGCAGACAAACTTTTCCACAGTCTATCTGGGAAGATGAGGGGGAAAAAAGGAGGGGTCACTTTCTGAGAGGCAAAGTACTCTAGGGGTGATAGTAAAAATTTTTTTTACCCTTTTACATCCAGATCCATTCGGGGTCTTGTTATAAAGCAATTGCTGCAGGCTTTCAACAAAAAGGATAAAAATTTTCAAGTGTGGGTTTTCCTCTCCTCAAACAGGCAAACTGGAAACTTCACACTGTGTGTTTATTTGAGAGGCTGGGCTGCATTGTTATTGTCTATCTTAGTGGCTCTTTCTCGGCTCTCTCCCGCAAAGTGGCCTCATTTAGCCAGGCCATTCCTGCCACCATCCATCAGAAGCTAGGCTAATGAGCAGAGAAGGAAGAGCCAGTCTCACACACAAACACGCCACTTATCTGAATTATTATTTTACCAGGAAAGAGGGAGGAGGGCGTCGTGAGCAGGGAGAAAGTTTGTTTGACCTTATTTCTCTCTTCTGCAGAAGGCTGGGAAGGAGGCAGACAGCGGAGCAAACGTCCAGGCAGAGCTCAACTCCCCACCTGACTGCGGTCGCCTGGCCCCACTATGCCCCATTGGGGGTTGGGGGGTAGACAAGAAACGGAAGGGGCGAGAAAGGGAGGTGCAGGGCCCTGGCCCTGAGGACAGGCCTGTCCGTCTGGCCCTGGCTGGGCCCCCATCGCCCCGCCCCCACCCCACACTCACTGAGGGGAGGTGTGGAGGAGGAGATGCCCCCCAACCTCTCCAGCACCACTGCCTAGAAGTCACGCGAGGAAAAGGCCACCCAGTTTAGGGGCTCGACGGGCCCTACCCCCATGGGGGTTTCATGGAGGGGGCATCTGATAATTCATATCCCCAAGTAGAGGCCTGGCCCTAAAAGCTGCGCGGGGTGTGAGGGTGTCCGTGGGCCCCGGCCCCCATTGGGCCACCGCGGGGAGGGGAAGAGGTGGGGGTGGGGAGCCCTGGCCCCGCTGCGGGCCCCGGCGCCCCCGTCCCCTGCGCCCTCGGCCCGGGCGCCCGTGACTCCCGGCAGCTGGTGTGCGCTCGCCGCGACCCCCCACACCCGGAGCCCGCTCCCACACGGGCCGGGTCGGGCCAAGCCTTCCTACCTCCGACCCGGTACATGTTGGCCGCCATGTCCGCCCGCCCGCCCGCGGAGCCCGAGCCGAGCCCCGCCCGCCGCCGCCGCCTCCTCAGCATGAGCCTCGACCGCCGCCGCCGCCGCCGCCTCGCCACGGCGGGGAGGGGAGGGGAGGGAAAGGAAGGGACGAGGGGAGGGGGAAGTGAAGGGGAGGGGACGCCGAGGGGTGGGGGCTGGTGCCTGCCCCCAGCCGGGCTAGCGAAGTGGGCCGGGCCGGGGGAGGCCGGAGCGCCGCGGGGCCAGCGGGAATTGAGGGGGAGGGGAAGGGGGCAGGTTGGGGGCCCTTGCTGGAAGTGGAGGGTCTGGCGACCAGCGTCCTGGCCGAATTAGAGGCCTGCACTCGCAAATGCGGACCAGTGGCTATTAGAGAAGAGGGGTAGGAGCTGGGGTTCGGCCTCTTCGGAGGTCTCCCTGGGCACCCGGTCACCTGCCCACCCGGAGGCAGGTCCGCCTTCCTTGCTTCTGTCCCTGGGGAGCCCCAGTGTTTGTGACCTCAAGTACGCCAGCTCCAGCGCCAGTCTAGGTGCAAACTCCGGGATGCAAATAAGTGCAGGCATCAGGGCACCTTCCTTGTGGTGAGGTTAATTAATGTGGCTGACCTGGAGCCTGCAGGCTCTGGGACCAGGAAGACCCTAGGTGCTTACTGCTTCATCAGTCCGGGACCCAGCTGAGGACAGAGCTAGAAAAACAGGCTTCCTTCCAAGTCCACTCCAACTGCATCATCCTTCACCCCCAAACTGGGCTGAGCTGAACCAATTCCCCTGCACCCGGATAGAGGCCCTGCCTCTAGACAGGCCTTATATACTGTGTGCTTTCATGGGAAAAGAGACCTTTAGGTGTGCGGGGTTTCCATTGTCCATGGAGGAACAAGGCCTTACAATTCGTAATGGACACCATCACCAGCCCAGAGGTGGAGATACTGTCAATAAGCTTGCTGTTGAGGAGCAAGTAACTGGTTATGTGCCTAAAGCTTTAAAATGGTTATTTTCTACTGAAAATAGAAAAAATTAGCTCGCCATGGTGGCGTTCCTGTAGTCCCAGCTACTCCTTATGAGACAGGAGGATTACTTGAGCCCAGGAGTTTGAGGTTGCTGTGAGCTAGGCTGACACGACAGCACACTAGCCTGGGCAACAAAGTGAGACTCTGTCTAAAAAAAAATAACTTTCAAAGAAGCCAGTATATTCCAAAGTACTCCAAGATGTCACTGCATAATAAACATGAAGAGGATTCCTTACTGTTGTAGGTTGTTTGGAGTTTCTGGTGATAATATAGCTATGCCGCTGACCCTGGCCTTGAAGTCTATACTGGGGTAGGAGATATCCCCAGGAAAAAAGGTTGTGATTTGGTTGTCTGGTAATGGCATTTGTGATGGTCCCTTATCACAAAGTATTGGAATGAAAAAAATAATGTTCTGGGTAGCTGAGGCAAAGTAAAAAATAAAATAAAAACTAAAGCACTTTTGCCTGAATTAATGTGGACTCTGTGACCTGTTTCCTCTTTTATAAACTGGCGACACTAATTCCACTTCACAGGTGTGGTAAGGATCAGTTGTGGTGATATCTGAAAATGCTTTGTAAACCAGAGAGCACAGAGCAGTATGCAAATAACAGGTGTCTGTTGCTATCTTTTTAACCCCAGAAAGTCTCAGATTCCCCAGGGTTTTATGCTATGTGTCGAATTATGAGCCATGTGTCAAATTCTTCTGACCCAGAGAGAGAAAGCAAAAGTGTTCTGTTATGCACGTTACATAGCTGTCTTTTATCATAATCCTTTTACTGGGAGATCCCCATCCCGCCAAAAACATTCTAACAAAACTGACATTACTCTCTCCATTTCTGAGATGACACATAAATAGGTTGAATAATTCACCTGGAATCACACCGTAAACTGGCAGAAGTATTAGGATTATAATTCAGCTCTTTCCTTTGGTCTGAAATGCTCTGAACCATGAAACCTTTCTCCAAATGAAAAGGCCAGCAGGAAACATCACAAGCTTTGGGGTGTTTTCCCATTATGTTTTATACATGAGTAATTTCTCCTCCTTCAAAATATTTCTGTATTTGTATTAGTTCCTTTTCTTCCTGTCTCATTTTCCCAGCTTTGTGCTCTTTGCCAGGTGCATGACAACTGTACTAACCACAATAATTGGGTGAAAGTTGCCAAGAAAACATCTACACCCACCTCCTGCCCTTAGAAACACCCTTATCCAGAAGCCCCCATGAAAGATCTCAGAGATATAAGGCAGGGAGATGATGATGGTGGCAGAACCTGTAACCATTTTCCTCCTCTAGAATCTGTGTATTTAGCCTCTTCTATCTTGAGCTCCCAGGCCAATGTTCTCTATGTAGTAGGTGCTCAGTATCTGAAAGAATAAATGCCAATAAATGATGGACACAGTGTTGTTAGGAAATTCGGTGGAGAGCTAAATGCAAACACTTTGTCTATGAAACTTTTATACATCCTAATACCAGAGAGGTTTGCATATAAGGAGTTCAACAAGCGTTTGTAGATTCAAAAAACCTTCCAATCAAAAAAGGATGGAAGCCAGCTCCAGTGGCTCACGCCTATAATCCTAGCACTCTGGGAGGCCAAGTCAGGAGGATTGCTTGAGCTCAGGAATTCGAGACCAGCCTGAGCAAGAGTGAGACCCATCTCTACTAAAAATAGAAAGAAATTAGTCAAACAACTAAAAACAGAAAAAATTAGCCGGGCATGGTGGCACAGGCCTGTAATCCCAGGCACTTGGGAGGCTGAGGCAGGAGGATAGCTTAAACCCAGGAGGTTTTTTTTGTTTTTGTTTTTTTTTTTTTTTCGTGTGAAACCCAGGAGTTTGAACTTGCTGTGAGCTAGGCTAACGACAGGGCACTCTAGCCCAGGCAACAGAGCAAGACTGTTTCAAAAAAACAACAAAAAAAAAAAGGATGGAAAAGGCTGTACGTTCAAGAAAGCAAAGACACCTCTCCCTTCATAGCCTGATTGAGATCACAAATTTGCCATCAACCAGCCTAAACTTCATTCCTAGTTTGGCAGTTTAACTAAAAGACCCTGAGCGAGTTACTTAACCCCTCTGAGCTTCTACAAAATATGACTAGTGATTGATAACAACCTCAAAGGGTTATGGTAAAATTGAAATATAGAAAGTGTTTACCACATGTTGAGAGCTTCGTATTTGTTAGGTCCCTTCTCTCTATTCCAGTCATTTTCATCATGATGGAAGAAGTGTCTCTTAGGCCATGCCAGAAATTTCAGGGCAAATCCAGACTTCACATGGATAAAATTTCCTTGCATGGCTGTTGTGATTAAAGAACCATGTGCAAGGAATTGCCTACAGCCCCAAGATGTTCCCAGTGTCAGTCTCCAGCTTCCCACTATTCAGCTGAAGAGAAGTGGATATGGCAATAAAGCCATAGGTGAGATGGAAAGAGAATTTCTGTCTCAATTTATGGATGGAGGTTTTGTTGGGTTTTTTGTTTGTTTGTTTTTTGGATGAAGTTTTTGTTTTGTTTTATTTTGTTTCTGTTTGTTTTTTTTGGACTGGGGTGAGAGGCTAGCCTAGATCCTTGGATGCAGTTTTTATATATGAAAAATAAATAAATAAATAAGATGGTATTGGCTGCAGTCTGGGAGCTTGGTGATATTGAACCCAGGGGGGGCGTCTAAAATGTAATTAATCTGAAACCAGAGGCCAGGCTTTGGATAAGGAGCTATTATCTTATTGTTTGTCTTTTCTATTATTTATTTCTCTCTTCCTTTTCATTTTTTTTTATTATGAAAGGAGGAGTGAGGAGAGTAGTTCCTTTGTTTTGTTTTGTTTTGTTTTTTTGAGATGGAATCTCACTATAGTCGCCCTGGGTAGTAGAGTGCAATGGTGTTGTTGTAGCTTACTGCAGCCTCAAATTCCTGGGTTTAAGCAATCCTCAGCCTTCCCAGTAGCTGAGACTACTGGCTCCTGCCACCATGCCCAGCTAATTTTTTTATTTTTAGTAGAGATGGGGTCTCGCTCTTGATGAGGCTGATCTATGACTCCTGAGCTCAAATGATCCTCCTACCTCCGCCTCCCAGAGTGCTAGGATTACAGGCGTGAGCCACCATGTCCAGCTCTTTTTCCTTTCATTAACTTGTTATTTAGTAAAATTCTTTGGGAAAAGGCCAGCCTATCTCAGATATTCTAAGAAGGTCCTGGGATCTAAAGGCAAAGGAAATACATTCTAAGAGAAGAGAAGGCATGTGACAGCAAGCATCAAAGCAGGAGGGCCCCTAAGAGAAAGGACACCAGAGTTGGGAGTTTCATGAGTTCCATAGTTTCTCCAGTTATGGAGCTTCTTCTTCCATCAACCCCTTGTGCTAAAACCTTGTACTAAAAACATGAAATCCAGGACCAATCTCCCAGGTCTTGGTTTTGGAAGTATGTGTTTTAGGACCCCATAATTCCCTTAAGTTCTCAAAGGGGAGCTAGCTCAGCCATTTGGTTACATCCATAAGAAGA